CGCCAGTTTTGGATTTGTCACCTGCTTTAAAAAAATATTCCACTGGTTCTGGGCAAATGGGGGCTGCTGTGGTGACAGAGCATCATGCAGATGAAACCTTGTGCCGTGCTGCATTAGACCACATAGCACGTGGATTCGATCATGTTGCAATGGTATCCGAACTGCTACACGAGGCCCTGGATACTTTACTGACTGGAGATCCTGTCAGTAAGCAGCGAATGACCGCCTGGCTTCATGCAGCTTTGGGTGTCGCATTTTCAACTCTCGAGCCCGTGGAGGCAGTAAGGCATTTAGATGCGGCACTCGATCGATACGAGGACGACGAAACGTGCAGGAGATCATGGGCCTGGCCTTGTGCCTTCTTATTGGAGCGTCTCGCATATTGCGCACTCAGGCTTGGTGACGCTGCACTTTGCACATCCATTTTTCTGAAGCTGGCCGTTTTGGATGTGCGATTATTTTTGAGCAGTTCTGGTGTTGCGGTGGCAGCTCAGCGAGATGCCACAGCTTTGCTTACATGTGGATCTCTTCACGATGCTATTCAAACGGCAGCACTTCGGGGATTTGACACCGCAAATTTTGGAGAATCGCGATACCTCCGTAAAGACTCGAGCGAGGTACGGCCAGCTGAGAGTGCAGCGCATCTTGGTGTCATCGAGTGGTCTGCATGGTTTGATGTGGGACAAATTTTTGTACTCGAGGAAAACACCTCAGTGAACATCACAGTCGAAGTCCGGCTCAAAGCGTCATCGCCCGAGCCTCTACACATTGAGTACTTCGAGCTCTCATTTCGGCCCAAGGACATATTCCGACATACCCTAGTAGCGACTGCGAAAGACATCATCCGAGTCGGTGCAGCACACACTGCAGAGGATGGTCTCATCCCAGGGGTTGTATATTCGTGGCGCTTAGCCACTGCACTGCTAGTGATGCGCTGCGGAACTGTGACTGTAGACACACTGACCCTGAGGTTGGCGGGTTCCACAATGCTGCAGGCGACATCAATTCCAGTAAGTGCGACTAGGGGGACTCTTTGCGAGACATCCACCTGGAGACGCGGCTGCTATGTGACACTTGACATCAAGCACGAGCGACCTGGAGTGACACTGACACTTGATGGACCCAGACTTTCACTCGCAGGTGAGCCTAGTTTTGTAACAGTTAAACTTGCGTCGACTCGAATCTTGCCAGACCAGATTGTTGTCGTTGACTTGCTGTCTAACACTGTGAAGCGTGATTATCTTGACCTCACTTTTGATGTGGAAGATCAATCGAGTTGCACAAGGGAGGGTAGCGGGCGATTTGTGTATTATGCTGGCAGAATCAGTGCCCAGTCTGAAGTCTATAGGGTTGGATTTTGGGTGACCTGCCATAATCAAGGAACCGTATCATGCAAAGTGACTGTAACTTACAAAGCATCGCTGAGATGCAATGAAAAAATCGATGATGACCCGGAGACCGGTCGAGACTCTACTTCTGTGGTCCATGAACTGTCGGTGCTTGCTCCTTTCCTCGCATCGTTTCAGATGCACAGGCCTATAGCTCAACGCAGCGCACCCTCATGTTCACATTGCGAGTGGCTTAGCGCAACCGTGCCCAAACGTAATGTCTTTCAATGTGTCAGCGGGGGATGTGTTACACTTCGCTGCAACCTTCGAAGTTCCCAACAGACCTCCATTGCGATTCGTGCAGTATATTATAGACATACTAGCAGCGGACAAAAACCAGAACTTGTCTACCCACTCGACGGGGGACCAGGGCAAGTGGCGAGGTTGATACAGCACGAGGTTTTCACAGTTCAGTTTAACTCACCACAATTAGCTGGATCTGTGTCCGAGCGCAAAAATCTTGGATGTTTATTAGTTCAATGGAGTACCATGCTCGAAGATGATATTAATCTACAGATCATCGAGACACACCTAGACTGCCCTGATGTCGAAATTATACAACCAGCCTTTAGCTGCAAGATTGACATGCCAAGTCGGATATATTTAGGCCATCCCTTCGTGTTAAGATATCATGTTATAAGCATCGTCCCATGCCCACCTTCCCTGCATGTTCGAGGGAGTGGTGGCCTCAGCCCCTGGGGTGGGAAAAATAGGTGCAAGCTAGACTTGTTAAGTCAGGAAAAGGTGCGGTTGGATACCGTTCACTTGGCGCTATTGATTGGTAAGAATGAACTTCCAAATCTGCGCCTAGATACCAGATGTGATAATGCGTTTGCACATAACAGAATTATTGCTTTCGTCCAGCCCTAACGAAGACACGTGAAGACACGGGACAAATTCTTTTGTGCTATTCCAGCGATAGATGAGGAATAGTCGCCTCAATTTGTAACTCCGATCCAATTTGTACTCGTCTCATTGTTCTAGCTGACTAGGTCGGCGCTGGCTAACCAGCTATGGCTAACCAGCCATGGTCTCCCACTACGACAACGACGACGACGATCGAAAGCGAGCGCGAGCGGCGCCCTTCGCCTGCACATCGTCGTCGCCACTGGGCGCGTCGACCTTACGAGAATCACGCCTGGGCCACACGATGCGTGCGCATCTATTTCGGATCAAACTCACCCAACTATCCCCCCAGGAACAGGGAACACCAACCGCGGTACTCAAAATTAACCACTTTGGGCACAGGGCCGGCACCCGCGTCCGGGGGTCGCCTTCCCGGTGCCTGTGTATCTGCCGCCGCGGCCGGCGGATTCGTAGGGTAGTCCGTGGGGGCTGCTGGG